CCCCTTTTCTCTCTTCTTCCGTCCCCCCTTCCCCCCTCCACCCCCTTCCTCACCGACGTATCATCAGAACGTAGGAGCGGCGTTGTTTCGCTCCGGCCAAGAGGTCACCGCTGGAGTCGGGTACCGAGCCGTTTGGCTATTGTGCCGAACACGAACGGTCGCCGAGCGCTTCAGGCTACCCACACGCACCCTTAGGACGCACCACCTCCATCAGACGAGCCCGGGAAATTAGCATTGTTCTTCTGTGACCTGGGCGGCGGGAAAATTAGCTGCATTAGCTCATCAAGACTCCAAAGGCGACTGGGAGAATGTCTAGCTCGTCTTCGTTGTCTCTCTGTCTCTTGTACGGAGTTCTAGGAATATTTTTTGGCATTTCCCGCTCTCCTACCAGAAAATCATAGCCCGCATTTCGCGCCCGCTGAAGGGAACAAAAAAAGTTGGCTGGATTAGAGGCTATTTTGAGAGTGCCTCATGACGTCGAAAGTCGAAAGGTGAACCGTCCTATGGCGCAGAAGAGGCGAGAAATCGAAGCAGTTTTCTGCTGAGATCTGTTGCGGTCGGCAGTTATAACGAGTGAAAGATTAGAATGATATTATCTTGAGATGAACCGAGATTAAGGTCGTCACCGAGAGTGCGTAAAAAAAAAAATCAAGGGCAGGATAGAAGTTCCGTGTTCTTTTTTTGTCTGGGAATGTGTGTTATTCTGTTTGTTTTGTTTTGTTTTGTTTATTATGTTTATTTTGTTTGCTTTCGTTGCTTAAAAAACCAATCAGGAAAATGATGGAAGTTAGTCGTTTTCTTTTAAAATCCAGATTGCGTTTGTTTCTTTTTTGACATCGACCTATCGAACTTGATGCAATGCTCGTATCTAGTAAATACCCAACAAAACTGGACAGAGATGTCTCCAGATAGACACCATGATGTTCTCCCCGACCCTTCAAATCTGAACATTTCTGAATAGGCTGGGATTTTTTCCCCTGTTTTAAACTTTCTTCAAAATAAAAAAAAAAACAACAAAACAAAACAAAACATCCC